ATGTAGGACTCGGGAGCTATAATAGGTTTGGTAACCAGGCTAGTTATATTGGCCCTGGCAACAGTCTGGCTCCCAGGCTAGGTTCCCACAGCAGGTTTGGCAGTCACCCAGGTTCTGAGACAAGCTCCAGGCCAAAGTGTAACCTGATAGTATCCACCGCCCCAGGGGCAACCCGCCTGCCTGTCACACCAACCAACAAGCAGCAGAACCTGGTCTGCAACTGCCAAAGGTTGTCTTCATGCATCACAGCCCTAAATATCAAGCTAGCCTGAGTGCCAGGCTGTTCCCAGGGCTAACATTACACAAGCTAGACCCCAGTCAGATCCTATGAACTAGGGTCAGTAGCCTGGGTGCCAGACTGTTTCCATACAGACTGTTCATTCCAGACTGTTTCTATACAGGCTAGCTCCTTGGCTCCAGAGCCTTCATGACCCCAAGGAAATTATACCACAGCCCCCCTCAGTTAGACCCTGATCCCGGCACACTGGCTATACATGTAGGTATAACTCTGAGCCTTGTGTGTTATGAGTCTGGCATCCAGGCTAACCCTGCCTGCAACTGCCAAAGGTTGTCTTCATCAGTTCATGCATAACAGGTCTAAATATCAAGCTAGCCTGGATACTAGATTGTTCTTAGGCAAGTTAGGGCAACCAATACACAAGCCAGTCCCCAGTTAGATCCCAAGCCAAAAAAAAGTCAAAGAATATAGGAAAGAACAAAGTTATAGAACTCGTTGTCTGACTTTCGTTGGCATTTTGTTCTCTTTTATCAATAGTAACTCTAAGTCTAAGCACGCATGCATGTTTCTCTGAAAATTCTTAGCACAGGAATTCCACCTCACTGACTACACCAATTTTCATTCACCTGTGTAAAACTGATAGAAGTTAGAACAGCTAATATTTGACAAGAAAACATCTTGACTTTACACTAGTTCTTTGTCACGCTGTAATTATTACAGTTTCCTCTCTACCTATTGAAATAAGAGTTGATAGCAATCTTAATTAAACTGCACTGACATATGATGCTGATATGTTCATCAGTTAAATTGAGTGATTTGCAATAAGTGAGCCCATGAGTGGAATACAAACAACAATATATACTGAGGAGAGGTAACCCTTGTAAATACTGTTCAGTGTATATTGGAATACTGCTTCTTGTCGCTATAGTGCATGTAGCCAATCTAGGTGGCACTTTTGCAGCAAGAGCACAATCCCAAACATTGGCTAAATGGCAAGTAGCAGTATGGTAGTACTTCAGTCAGAACGTCTGAGGAAGATGTCTTATAGGCATCGAATCGTAAGCACATGAGAGTCTATACAGTTGTGTATGAAGAGAAATCCAATATCATATGTTCTACCAACTTGATGAAATGATTTTTGGACTATGCCAAAAACCAGTTACTCAACTCAAGCAACTGGATATGATTTTGGAAACAGACGTTTTAGGTAGCATCCACTGCCTTTCGTTAGTGACACTGTAGAGTTGTCAGAAAAGCAGGTTTATAAGCACAAACTGTTGATTGATATGCAAATAAGGGAAGATTTTCGGTTTTTTCGTTGCAGTTTTGACGGCGCCCCTGAAGGTAAAGTCGGAGCCCCGCAGCCTGGATGAGTGCCCCCGCCCCTGCTCACATATGGTCCCTCCCGGGGAGATGTCCAACCCAGACAAGTTCGACTTCGGCGAGCAGTTGTTCATGGGAAACCCCTGCGATCCCAAGCTGCCACCGTTACCGCCCGCCCAGACACCGACCCCAAAGCAAGACGGACTGTCCTACCCACCCAGTACCTCCAGCACAGCATACCCACATCCACCAGAACCACCCAGGTATACTTACTAACTTACTATACATGTACAAGCACAATACAAAGTATCAACAGTAATTGTAAGTCCTCATACAGATGAACCATGTATTATAATATAAGCTCCATCTGTTCTTACCCATACAAACATACAAGTACAATTCAAGTGTAAACATTAATTCCTATTCCGCATGCAAGTTGATAAACTTGGGGCACTAGACAGCCAATTGTTTCAACCCTTTCAATCCATTTGACAGTACCCTTCTGTCTCTTCCACTGCATGATGGTATTGGCTAGACCCAATGACCCTAACAGGTGGCCATACCACTTCAGTTTCCATTTCTTTACTGTGGTTAGCAGGTCTTCATACAGACTATACTGTGTTTCATACTTAGTGCATGTGGTCCCTGTATGTGATTCCTACAATCTTTCAGAGGCAGTTGTTAGTTTAAGTTGAGGAAAACTTTTTGATGTTTGCAGGTACCAGAGACAACTGTCGGAGCCAGCCTACAGACTGCCCGACCCTCACGCCTTCCAGCGACAGGTGTCAGACCCCATGTTCCAAAGACAAGTTCCCGACCACATCCATTTCCAGCGATCGTCGTCAGACGCAGGTTTCCAGCCGCCCCGGAGCGAGGGCCAGTCCCCGTTCCCGGCAAACATCAAGCAGGAGTTCCCAGAGCCGATGTACAATCGCGCGATGGCTCCTCCCTTCCCTCCATGCCCACCCATCAAGCAGGAACCCAGAGACCTGGGATATGATGGCGGACAGGCAGGTCAGTGATGAGAAAAGATGAGAAAACAATGTCTTCTTATAGGACAAAAAGCTGTTTTTCCATAGAACTATTGTAGAGTGGAACCTGCTGCCACCAAGTACATGTACAAACAGTAGGGGCATCATCAGTAGATAGCTTTGAACCATGCTAATAGATGTGCAAAGGTTGGGTGTAACATGTCCTTTATCATCGTTGTAGTCAAGAGGCTGACATGTCGAGGCTCAAAATCCTTTTTTCTGCAAACCTACACCACTCAGAATTTGGGAAGTATGGATCAATACCAAAAACTGTTCAGAATGAACAAGAGCCAAGTACTTCCAACAATTTAGACATCAGATTTTACATTCCAAATATCGTGTTATGTTTAGTTTAGACCGCAAGTTCTTATTTTATGTTGTTGTTAATGTGGCTGTGAAAAGCCCAGTGCAATGTAGTAACATGTGATCTTGCCTGTTATTGTTGTAGAAGTACCAGTGTGGGACCCGTATCAGCGCCGAGACTCCATGTATGGTCCACAGGCAGCTGCAGCAGAAGGTGAGCACGGCAGAACTTCATCTTAAAAAAGGAGTCTCTTTATTTTTGATACTACAATACGAAATAAGCAACCATTTTCGGTCAGGGACATTGCATTTTTGCCTTACAGATATCAGTATGATATGGGATAGGAATTAGGATTGATCCAACTTAGTAAAAGATCCAACAAGTAAAAGAATGACCAGAAAATTGACTTTGAAAATCATTTTTCCACCCTCAGATTGCATTGGATGTCTTAAAATATAGTAACTACATGTCGTATACTTTAAGTAACCCATGTAAAATGTGCTTGTGACAAACATTTTAAACGATACACACAATAAAAAGAGTTCGAGACACACTCTGTTTCTTCATTAACTTGGTAAAATGCAGCATTGGTCTGGCAGTCCTTTTGACTCCTAACCTGTACCAGTTATTGTCGTACGGTAAACACAGCTGTTTAGTTCCCCACACGACTGTCTCATACCTTCATTGTGCTGATAACCCGTAAATGTAAGTGTTGGAGCTATTCTTAGCTGTACAGTAAGTACACATGAAACAGGGCACCGTTCCAACACCTGCTCTTTCTCATCATACGTAGCAACACGGCCAAAAGTAGCGTATTGCGTTGGCAGAAAGTACTGCGCCTGCGTGAAACCTGTGTTTTTCATGGTTTTTGTTGGATGTTTGGTCAATGTTGCATCAGAATTTTGTCAGTATCTTTTCTGACACAACATTTGATAACTACAATTGAGATATCCTCCTTGAATACACAAACATGACTTTAACTAATAAACGATACGTTCAGTAGAAGTGCTATGCACATTACATTCTGCTATCACACAGGTGTAGTACATTCTGCTGACATGATAGCTCTATGATCATTCATTCTCATCACTTCAAGCCTTGCTGAAGGGAGTTATTTACCAAAAACGTATGAAAAAGAACAAGAATTTAATGCCCTATATTTGGTATTGTTTCTTCAGGCTTTCTTACTGACAGCAACATCAGGTCTTTCTATGACGACAGCTGTCTGCCAGAAAAGTTAGCCGAAGGTGAGATCACCCGACATTCTTGTATAGTTATTATTAAAGAACTATGCTTATACAAAACTCAGTTGTCACATGAATACAAGGTAAGTTACTATGTTTCCAAGGAACATAGTTACTGTCACAAAGAATATATGTTGTCAGTGCCTTTCATGGAATTGTGTGTCTGTGCATGTAGTAGTACAAGTAGTAGAAAGAGAGTGTACGTGTATGTGGACATTATGAAAAATGTAATAGAAGTTATGAGTTTCCTGAGTACATTGTAGGCATCTGATGTTGTCCTGAACAAAGCTCAAGAGAACTTCAGAAAAACCTACATCAGGGAAACACCATAGCACCTAGTAAAACACAATTTGAACTCCTTGTAACAGACAGATCAATCTAACTATCGTATAACATCAAACATAACATGGTTCTTGTGAGATATGAGAATGCATTTAGTTTATTCAGATGCCCTTTCAATAGCCCTTTACGCGGCTAATCTTCCAGGTCTTGTTAAACAATACAAATACATATTAAAACAGATACACACACAAGTACAGATTTACATACAAGTACAGACTTTAAGACGTAAGAATTATGAATCGATTTCAGAGGTTGGATTACAGGACTAACCATGACCAAAATGACTAAGTCAACAAATTATCAGTTACCGAAGGCATAAGATGACAAACGTACAACAAAATTGTACCCTAGACATGTCTGTACTCTAAAATCTTCTGGGACCAAATCTAGCATCTATCAGAAGTCCCAATGCCCCAGGCAGGGATTAAGAACTTCCTGTCTACAGAGTTTGAGCGAAACCTGATCTCCGCGAGGCGGGCAGAGCGCCCATTGTGTACAGACTCTAAATGATATGGAACCTGATATGCTTTCACGCATACTGACGTACATGCATTACAATGTGTTAAACAGAATCATAGTAAAACCAGTACCAAATGATTGTGATGATGAGGCTCCTTTGAAATTTTTTAGTACATCTAATTACATTCATTCATTTATTCATATGCCTAAATCTAAACATGGATAGTGAGTGAGTGAGTGAAGGGCTGGGATGCTATTTTGGTGTTTCTATCAGTAATTACTTATATCAATGAGAGATAGGAATAGTGCAAGCTTTCAGATTTTGAATTTGATACAGTTGTAGTTATAAAAACCTCCATTCAAGTGTTGGGATGATATTTTGGTATATCTAGGACTAGTAGTTATTACGTATCAAGGAAGATATAAATACTACTGGTATCATTATAACCATAATGGTATAGTGGGGTCGTGTGGCGCAGTTGGTAGCGCGTTCGGCTCACACCCCAGAGGTTGTGGGTTCGAGCCCTGCCCATGTCACCGATCTTGTGCCCTTGGGAAAGGCACTTTACACGACTTTCCTCACTTCACTCAGGTGAAAATGAGTACCTAGCTTCGGTTAGGGACGTCCCTCGGATAGGACGTTAAATGGAGGTCCCGTGTTTGGGAGAGCCACACCCCATGCACGTTAAAGAACCCACCGCACTTATCGAAAAGAGTAGGGGATCTTCCCGGTGTGAGTGGTTCAAAACTTACAGTCCGGTCTTACGCAGCTTGTACATGTGCGCACATGTACAAAACTGGTGTGTTACGCCTGAAGGCGGTTTACCGGTTATGCGAAACAAACAAACAAACCAAGAAGGTTTGCTACAACATTCATTTCCTGTTATGGTTGTCTGAATACAGTTGAAAGCCCCGAATCATTGGGTTTATTTGTCCCGGAATTAAGTAACCACCAAGCAGGGAACTCGCAAATTCTTTTACTGTGATTCAGTTGTAAATTAAGGCCCCTGTCACTTAAATAATGAGTATGTTGGCTTCTCGCGATTCATCACTGTCCAAAGTAGGAAGTTACTGGTTGATCTAACTGGTGTTTCAAGTAGCATCACTAATTTTTGTCAGTGACTAACGGAATCTGTAGCTGAACAGGTTTTCATCCAAAAACTATGAATTGATACGTAATGAGGTGAAGACTGATAACGTTCGATCTGAGTTGTAAATTAAAGTAAATCCGCTGTCACTTAAATAATGAGTATGTTAGCTTCTCGCGATTCATCACTGTCGAAAGTAGGAAGTTACTGGTTGATCTAACTGATGTGGGCTTATCTGTGAATCTAACTTGACAAGGAAAGGTTCTGTCCAGTTTCAACAGATGAATCTGACCATTGTATAAGTTACTATAACACCAAATATGGTTCTTGTGGCATATTAGAATGCATTGAGTTTTTAAGATACACCTAGAATGTGGGGCTTATCTTCCAGGGTTTGTTAAACAACACAAACACATAAAACATATATATACACATGACTACGGACTAAACATAGTTACATACAAGTACAGACTTTAAGATCATGAAGAATCAATTTCAGAGGCTGGATCAGAGAACTAATTATGCCTAAAATAATTGAATAACAAATCAGCTAGTGAAGGCATTAGATGACAATTGTACAACAAAATTGTCCATACAGATATGTCCATACTCTAAAGTCTTCTGAGACCAAATCTAGCATCTATCATTAGCATCAGACTTTAAGAATTAATGTCACAGGTTGGATTAGAGGTCTATTCATGACCAAAATAATTAAGTCAACGAATTATCAGTTAGTAAAGGCATGAAACGTACAGCAAAATTGTAGAATACATAGGTTGGCTTCAAAAGATCTAACTGATGTGGGTTATCTATGGATCTAACTCAGCAGGGAAGGGTACTGTCCGGTTGTCTGACATGGCTCCACTCCCCATCAGAAGACACTCTTTGATGCATGTACCTCTGCTCAACTTGACCACCCAGTGCAGCAACTGTGGTACTTATGACTCCTTGTTGCCTTGCACTGCCTCGAACGAATCACAACTTGTACCCAAATCAAACCTTAGCTCACACAAATGCTCTGATTACATGCTGATAATATGAATTATACCACGAGTGATTTCTACCCCCATTGACAAAAGCTTCTAGCGGGTTCTGACCCGATTTACATGCTTCCAAAACCCGACAGGACGAAAGCTGCATACACATGACATGTGAGCGCACGAAAACTGCATACGTCAAATTTTTCCTGCCTGTAAAATGTTCTGCTTTGATGTACGCAGAGAACATACATTCAGGCCGTACACCAGCCCTCGAGGTATGATCTGAATGTATATGTTTTTAATGTAAAATCAAAGCAGACCAATTTACGCCCCAGAAAAATTTGACATACATAGTTTTCGTACACTCCCACGTGTACACAGTTTTCCTACCATCATTTTTTTTTGCCTGCATGTACGTCAGGTCTTTGGCAGGTTCTTTTAGCCTGCAAAAATCCCAATCTGGTAGTGAACATCAGCATGTCGGCAGAACGTACTGCGCCTGCGCAGAACCCTGGATTTTTGCATTTTTCGTTGGATTTTTGGTCAACATTGCATCGGAATTTTCAATGTTGCAGAGGATATCTTTTCAGACACAACATTTGGAAACTACTGTCGAAATGCTAACCTTATATGAGCGAATACAACCTTAAATGAGACATTCTGCCGAAGTACAATACATTACGGGTTTCGCGCAGGTGCAGTACGTTCTGCCGACGTGCTGTGAACATCAGTGTACAACAGTCTGTAGGATAACTCTAAAAGTTGTCCCGAATCTGTGTGTGTTGTAGGCATGAAGCCTGAACTGTATCGCGAAGCCCCGACCTACCAGCGGCGAGGCTCCCTGCAGCTGTGGCAGTTCCTGGTGGCCTTACTGGAGGACCCCAGCAACACGCCATTCATCGCGTGGACGGGCAGAGGACTGGAGTTCAAACTCATAGAACCAGAAGAGGTGTGTACGAGTCATGTCAACCTTGATAGCTCAAGAATGTCTTTTTATTGTATTTATAGTCAGGGCTCAAACTACTTGCCTGGCAGGCAACATTAAAAATTACCTGCACCACTCAGAATTTCACAAGCATATATTAATATAAAAACTGTTCAGAAACCATTAGCATTATCTCATTTATACTTCATAGGTGGTAACAGTCAATGCAGCAAATAAGAGCTTCAATTTTAGCTGTACTAACCTGCATTTGCAGGTGGTATTTCTAGCCCTGCTCAAGATTGCCTTTTTATTCTACTAAGATTAGTACTGCTAGTGAAGATACCATCTTGTGTTGGAGTATTTGACTCACTTAACTGTTCCACCACCATCCCAGGTTGCGCGGCGTTGGGGCATGCAGAAGAACAGACCAGCCATGAACTACGACAAACTCAGCCGCTCGTTGCGGTACTACTATGAGAAAGGCATCATGCAGAAGGTGGCCGGGGAGCGCTACGTCTACAAGTTCACGTGCGACCCCGAGGCTCTGTTCTCCATGGCATTCCCAGACAATCAGCGGCCTGTACTAAAAACTGACAGCCAGGTATGTAGCAGGCTTCAATACAACCAACAACGTTGAAAACTAATGAGAAATAGACTGTTCTCCAACTCAAATTTGACACACCAAAATTTTCGACCAAATTTCTCGGCCTTAAGATTATCACGTTTTTGACACAAGTGCTGTAGACAGGTGACATCAGCACAGATGAAGACTGAGAAATTTGGTAATTTGGCAATTTCTCAAGTGATACATGTACCAATTTCACAAAGAGCAACCCATAATTTCTTCCGAGTTACTGTCAATGTTATAGACTCTATAAAACTGTTGCAGTTCTTTTTTTAGTGCCGAAAATACAAAAATGTCTGATACATTTGCACTTCACTTTATAACATCACAACACTCATTGTTTAATTATTTCATTGTTTAATTTTGATGTTTAATATAAATATGTTTTGTCATAAGTTATCTTTGCTTGGGGTAGGCCTCTAGAAAAACCACCCAGGTTTCTGGCTTACCCCGCACATTCTTTGATTATTATTATTTGATTGTGTAATTGTTTTTAATATACGTGCAAATGGTAAATAAACAAATAAACACCTCTGCTAATCATGTACATTTGTGACTGTGCAAAACATTCATCAAGCGTATTGTCTTTCCTGTTAGGTCCCACAGATGAACCCACCGCTGGTCGTGCCTACCGACTGTCCCGTGTCGGGGGACAACACCGTCCCGCTCAGGCACCTAGATGACAGCCTGGAGCAGATGGCTTACATGCAGGTGATTACTACATTCTCTCTCTCTATGTGGTTTATCATCTGTTGCTCCCTGTAACGAGGGTTAGACATGTGCCCACACTTATGCTGGGGCTTGATGGTAGCTTGCCATTTTCCTCTGTCCTGTGGTGCCACGCAGTGTCCCAACATGAGGTGATGCAATCCATGATTTGGATGTTCCTTTAGTAAGGCACAGGCCAGGGATGATACAGGGCTGTAGGGTGTATCACTGTTACTCCCTGTTACAGTTCTTGGGCTTCTGGTGTGCCTTTGGGCTCCTCAGCATCTTGTGCAACACTTTTTGATTAAGTGTACAAAAAGAGACCCGATATTATCAGGGAAAGAGATGAAACAAAACTTGTACTTTTGAGTTGACTGTGTATATGTGTACTTTTAAGTTGACTTTTATGTACCAATTATGTTATGTACCACTTTAACATTGAATTAAGTTCCTTATTTGATGTCTCCTGTCAGTATGACCTTTGATTTGACTTGGATTTATGATAACTTTCTACTTATGTTTCAATCATGGGACTACTGGTGTCTTATAAGCCCATATGGGCTGGGCGACAATGTTGGAAGACACAATTATAATAAAATTCATTTATTCATTCTTGCAGGAGATGCAGCGAGTCTGCACCACCGCCTCAGACCAGTCTCTTGACACCCCAATCTTCTGAACAACCACCTCTACCTGTGATAGCAGTATTACAACAACATTGATGGACAGACACAAAATTACAGCAGAGCCTTGTAATGTCGACTGTTGATGATTTAATCCCAAAACTGAGGAACACCAAACTGAGAGAGATGGTAGCTTAACGGGAATGAAGCACGAGTCTCACTGGAACAGTAACTCACAGACTCTACATCAGTGTATGTCTTCTCTAGACTATACATTCACACAGGACATCTGATGATCTGTAACAAGCTTGCAGTATGTGGCTTGAAATGAGCAGACCGCTTTCCTGTCTGTGTCTCTGAAACCCGTAAATTTGTGTGGCTTACTCATCGGTGAGAAAGGTTGAGCACCATTGCATGGAGTTGAGAACATGTTGAGAATGTTTGACAGTGTGATACGATGCTAGAAATTTGGCCTCTTAACTGTACAGATATAAAGTTAGTAGTATGCGAGAGAAATGAAATCTATATTTGATTTCTATATTTGATTGTACTTACAAAGTCAAAGGTTTCAAAAGATGAGAGAGAGACGAGCCTTCAACCAGAGTGCTTTGAATCCTTTGATACAGATGAAACAAGCAAGGTGGAGCCTTACAGAAAGAAGTTGTAAAATCTTGTACATAACAAACATATAACAGAGATCTGGGAGATCTTATTACCGAGGTCCAGGGCAGTATAACTTGACTTTCACTAACAGTGAACTCCCCTTCATCTTTGTGTACAGTACTTGTCATTAAAACTACCACGTGTTTTCCGGTACTGTGGAAGCTTTTTGTAATCGACCGATTCTGTTTAGATAAGGTGTTTAATTGCCAAAGCAGGTCTTTACCAAAATTTGCCTTTTTCGTGAAACGGCAGCATGTCCTGATTTAGTGTTTCAAAGGAAGATGTCGTCGTATCTGTAGAAAAACTAGCAGTTGTAGTCTAAAGACTTCTTACTTTGGTGAGAAGTTTACTGGCTTCTTACCCCCTCTCTCAAGTGATTTTTAAAGTGAATTGGAGTTGTATCGATGCGAAAATAATGACTGGTTGTCGGAAGATGCGGTAGGTAGTACTTGTAGTACTTGGTCCGTGCCGTCTGGCGGTTTTGAGATGTCATTAATACGTGCTGTGCCTTTCTTCAATATGATGATGTTAAAGGCATCCAGTGTAATTTCAGGGCAGCAAAGCAAAAAAAATATTCTGGATGAGAGGAAATACTGACATAAACTGCCATTTCTTAGCACATTTTCATCCTCGTGTCATACTTGAAGCATTCAGATACATAATGTAGCCCTAAAACAAGCTAAGTGAGGAATACCTATATTTTTGGGTACCACCAAAACCAGCTAGAACTAGACTACGAAGCAAGCAACCATTTACCATCAACAGCATCACAGATATCAGTATACAATTTACTGCATTAAAAAATAGCCAATAAATTGGATTTGAAACGTTTTGTGCCCTGAAATTGTATTTGATGCCTTTAACTAAAAATTCACAATTGTCTACTTTGTCAATGACGTGTCATGTGACAAGGGCTTCTAACAGCCAACTCGTCCGTTTATTGTTCAAAGAGAAAGATGCTTTATCGACAATTATAGAGGATATTAAAGAAAACTACTGTATATTTCATTGTAGAGGAACTTAAAAACTGACATATTTTCTGCACCCCTCTAGTGTGAGAGTATGTATATGTATATGTAACATGTCGAGAGTACAACATGGTATTGCATATAGCAGAGTCATTGTAGTGTTCCATAACTTTGTTCATATATACAAATTTGATTGGTTTGACTGTTCAGAGATACAAGAACCTTGTATTGTGATTCGGACTGTCATATTTCAATAAAGTTTGTAAATACTGAAAAATGGCTGACTTTTCCTGTGTTTTTCTTTATTTGAATGGCACCAACAATTACAGGATAGTTATATATAGTACTCTTTTACTAAATTTTACTAAACTTACAGACCAAGAAAAAACTATTCTTCTTTTAACTTCCCAAAACCCACTAATTTTAGAAAAGGTGAGACATTACGTCTTCCATGGTCTAAAAAAGAGAAGTCAAACCCCTTAGACATAGTTTTAGACATAGCTATAGCTCTAGACAACTACCTTTTATCATGTAGATTTTAGTTATTTTATACTTACTACGTTTCATTGTTCTTTTATGTTTGTAATCTGCAATTAGCCCCCCGGGCATGAATTTGCAATAAACTTCTCATATAGGATGGAGGTAGAATAGAACTTTTATTAGAAGATGAAAAAAAAAAAGAATTTGCTGTCATCTCTGTAATGTATACTTTTAAAGACAAATGTAAACAACAAAAGTAAATTTTTTCAACAAACAGGTTGTTTCTCCATTTTACCACTTGTTCCTAAAAGTCATCCTTTTAGGATCCACTTTTAGGATTCTCATCTCTTGCAATACACATAATGACATACAAAAATTCCACATACATGTAAAGTTATTGAAAAAACACTTCACATGCAGCCAAGACTCTAGCCATGTTCTGTAACTGTTACAGTTTTTCCATCTATCAATACAGTGGTTTGATTAAATGTTCGAAATCCACTGTTTGAATTACAAACCAGTCTGGTATGTCGACTTCATGGCTCATATCATAGCATTTAGGGCTATCATAGGATGCCTAGGCCTGTTTTTTATTTTTTTTTCACCCTGTCACTTCATACATATAACTTACTTCTTCTGAAAAAATCTGACAACCAACAAATCAAATTGGTGTGGCCTAATGACATGCAAAAAATCCACACCTGAAGTAAGTCCATTGTTATTATTATTATCTATTCTCCACTCTAATCAGGAATGGCAGCAGGCAGGCTGCTGATGTCTGGCATCTCCATCCTGCTGGTCAGACCAGCTGACTCGGCACTTTTCATCCTCTGTCGGACGATGATGTACTGTACTGCCAGCCCCAGTATAACTCCGGACACCAGCAACGCAACAGCTACTCCTGCCAACGTGCCTGGTAAGATAGAACAGTACAGAATGCATGAATATGGTGAACATTTGAAATGTGTATTGTATAGCCGTTATAACTTCAGCGCGACATGCTTCATTTGAAATGCGTGTTGTAAAACTTCTGCACCTCATGCTTCGCTTCTGCGTCACTGTTCAAAGTTCTTTTAAAAGAGCAGCAAGCTACTTCTTTAGTAGACCAACTCCCTGGCATGTCATCTGTCTATTTCGCCAATTTCTCTACTCTTTCCAGCCACTACCGAAGCCTGGTATGGGCTATACTCTTCTGCAGTAGACTGGGTACCATATATAGTCCAAACAAATAGTGAAACACCATAACACAAATAAAGTTAGTACCTGCGCTGAAGCCACTTGCACTATTTTGGACTCCCTGGTCGCATCCTGAGTTAGTGGAAGTTGTTGAAGAAGAGGCAGTTTGTGTCGCACTGACGTCACGTTGTCTAGCTTTGTTTGGGCGGCAGATAATATTACTGGGTGGGTCGTAGACGTCTTGTTGTAAGGTTCCAGAAATGGCCGTGATCTGTATATCCTGTAGTGAATAAAAGCAAACAGCCTTGAGTAATCAAATCTCATATCGAATTCTGTTTACTAAAGCCACTGTCACACATAAGCCACATATGGCCTCTCACCACGGTTGGTAGTAGGTCGGGAGCAAGGTTGACTGTGGTTTGATGATCTTTCTCGAGGTTGGTTACTGTTCGACTGCTAGGTCAACAGTGGTTGACAGTCAAATTTGACTCAAATCTAACTCAAAGTTGATTTGATTTGTATCGAAAGTTAGACATTGCCTAAGTCTAGCCAAACTGCTCCCAACCTACCCCGACCTTGTCTGGTCATCCTCCCATGGCAGGGGCAGCAGCTCCGAATTCCTTCTCCACCCCTACCCCTGCCGAATAACATGGCATCTTCTACTCTACGACCCGATTCCAGGGACACGCTCTCAGCCAATCACGTATCACAGAGAAAATCTTCAACGCTCTTTACATTAATATTTATGAGATGCGCTAGCTATCGGAACCAATCATGTCGGCTATTCAGTGACAAATAAAAACAAACATGGCGTCGTCTCGGGAAGAGAACTTTTGCGATGCAGGCCGCTGCGGGCGTCGGCGGGGCGCTAGCGTGTGCTGGAGGCTGCGCGCGGATCCCGCCGAGCACGGGGAAGGTGTTAACTCGGTGACTTTGCCCCGCACGGCCTCCCCAACGCGTTAACGGGCTCGTCACCGGGCGGCGGCGGAGTCGCCGGCGGGGAGGGTGACGTCCCTTCGCCGCCCAAGTCAGAAATGGGGTCATGCCAAATAAGGCAAGCTCATAAATATTAATATTCCTCGGGTCGTAGAGTAGAAGATGCCATGTTATACGGCAGGGGTAGGGGTGGAGAAGGAATTCGGAGCCGCTGCCCCTGCCATGGGAGGATGTGTCTGGTTGGTTGTCAGAGAAAGGGCCTGTAAGCACTTAATAGCTTTAAACCTACCTACCTACCTACCACTCCACCGCATATCAACTACTGCTGAGGCGGGCCATCATTGTTCTCCATAGCTTTAAACACTTACATAACACGGTAAGTTAGCTGTAGAAATACCTGTCCACAAATACCTAGTAAGAGCGACTTACTCTGGAAAGAGTGATGACCAGCTGGTTACTGTCTATCTTCTGCTGGAGCAGCATGATGGCGTCTGCTGTAGGAGTGAGGGGCTGGTCACGTGGTCCTGGGCTAACAGCCGGGGCTTCCAGAACTGTCATGGTCACATACGTAGCTGAGTTGTCGCTGTCATACTGGGGGGATAGAAAGTGGGAGAGAACTGTAGTGTAAATCATACCTTTGCTTCTTTTTTAACATTACATGTGTCAGCAAGTGTTACACAGAAAAATAGAAACATTGCCCCATGAACACACACCCCATGAATCTACAATGACAAGTGCCAGTTAAGTCTAAGGTAATGGTTGCTTTAGGGGATTAACAGCACCTGTCAGTATAACTGCTATAATGTAAACTCCACTTTTAGTGATAAGTCTGACAGGTATGTCTGAGAATGGCTACCTATTAGTAAACAACAATAGATCAAAAAAGTTCCTTTCTCCACCTATATATGTTGCATATATATGGCAGTTTCCCTCTCTGTTTCAGTAGCCCTTGGGCCACACACTAACAGTTGTGCAATCACCACAGCAGGAAGCTAGTAGGCTAGTCCACTGGTACGTAGTGGTGTGTGTTTTACTTCCACACTCTTTCACAAATGCTGAGCACTTCAAGCAGAGAATTCAAAGCAGTACTAGTATGTACCATTTTGAAGTCTTTGGTTTACATGTGATAGACAGTGATACATGTCAGTGACATGAGACAGAAGCTACTGAGCTCACCATGACATCTTCACATCGCAGGAAAGATATCCTCATCGCTCTGCACAGTTGGATCTTTAGTGGTGTATGTTTAACTCCCATACTCTTTCTGAAATGCTGAGTGCTAAGCAAAAAAAGCAGTACTAGTGTATACCATTTTAAAGACTTTGATGTACATGTAATAAACAGCTCACCATGACATCTTCACATCTCAGGAAAGATATCCCCATCGCTCTGCACAGTTGGATCTTTGTCTGAAGTGTCAACTCCCTGCCATACAGCTTCAGGAGTGGTGATACGGACACTGAGAAAAATGCGGGAAAAGGCAAAAGGAAAGGACGATTTTAGAAATGGGGAATTTCAAAATCTTGAATACAATGTCATCTAAATCACGATATTTCAGTATTTGATACATCGATGAAGGTTAGACATCCAGGTAATACGATACGCCAAAAAGCAGTTACTCAAGCAACTGGATATGATTTTGGAAATGGTCTGAGACATTTCAGCTAGTATTCCACTAGCTTTTGTCAGTGACTGAGAGACCAGAGGAGAATTGCAGGTTTAAAAGCACAAACTATTGATTGATATGCAAATAAAGTGAAGACAATTCTTTGGAAGTCGAAAATGGAACAAAAGTTCTTGAACTTTTAAGGGAGTAAAGAAGGAAAAAAATCCTCCATTTTATGCTTAACATAGAGGAAATGAAGGATATGATCTCTCATACTCAGATAGTTGTAACTTACCTAAGATTACAATCATGCTGTATTCTACATAAAAGATTACAAGTTAGAGCTTTTCACACACCTGGAAATTGAAATCTGATGACTTGCTTTCGACTCGCATCATAGCAATTTGAAACAGCAAAGTCAGTGATGTCTTGGTCCAAGTCGAAGTTGTATATCTTTATGACAGTTTTGTCCATGGGTCCAGTGTAGTTGCCTGGTACCTAAAACACAGATCTCATTGTCCTTTTCATTTCTCAATGTAACTTTTATGTTGTCTTTAGTACTAGTAATATATTACATGGTGCAAGGTTGGTGTTGTGTGGCATAACAGCAGAGCATAGGGCTCAGAACCAAGAGGTCCCTGGTTCAAATCCTACCAAGTCATCAACCTTGTGCCCTGGGGAAAGGCACTTAACGACATTCCTCACTTTGCTCAGGTGAAAATGAGTAAAACTATGCTAAAATGATCATGATTGTGGGCATTTAAAAGGAAAACCAACCAAGCTAAGGGTGCATTGCACACCTAGTATTACTCATTTTCACCTACTCTTCTAAGCAGTTGCAACTTAGAACAATAATATTGATGATGATAACCAACCGTAATAGGCTTGAATTCTATGTGAAGCGGCACTCTGGTATTGTCTGCAAACCCAGTATGGTCCACATATTCTGACTGAAAAAGAAAGAGAAACATCTTGATAAAACACACACATAAGGACTGGTAGAGGCTAAGGTGGATAAACTTACAATGTAAACAGGGTACTGTATATTAGTAAGTTGTTAGTATTATATAATATTATATAGCCAGCTTAGTTAGTCTGGTAGAAATTATTATATAGGAGAATATTTGCCAGGGGAGTTTGGCCGTCTTGGGGGTTTGACTGGCCATGCAGGGGGATATTAACCCTCTCGCGGACTGACTCTCCTGGTCAACTATTACCATTTTTACCAAATTTTATGACCCATACCCCTGTAGAATTCTTAGGCTAGTAAGTTGTAGAGATTCACTCACACTGCTGAAGTACAGCTGATACTCAACCCACATCGGTCCTGCGCTAAAGTTAAACTGTCTCCGGTAGATCCAACCGTCAGCTAGGATGTTTCGAACCAGATGCTGATAAACACAACAACAGCAACAAAAACAGTTTCAGAGAGGTTCATCTGTGTTAGTAGTTACATGTTTAAAGTTAAAACTTTTGGTCCAACACAAAACATTCTCTCACCTAGAGCTTTTGACCAGTCACTCTGGTCTTCCTCAGTAGACTGACCCAGTGAAGTTTGTCGCATGGTTTCTTTGAAGTGTGACGTCAACACTGGGTCAGTCTACTGAGGAAGACCAGAGTGACTGGTCAAAAGCTCTAGGTGAGAGAATGTTTTGTGTTGGACCAAGAGTTTTAACTTAAAACAAGCAACAAAAACAGTTTCAGTTGAGGGGAGCCACTATAAGTATGATGAATATCAGATAATACACACATACTAGTACCATGTATGTAGAATATAGTATAATGCTAGAAGTAGATATAGTCTCACATACCACTGTATTTTCTTTCTTATGTTGTTCGCAACTGCAATTAGCCCTGGGGCAAGTATTTGCAACAAACTTTCCACATACATTAGCGGCCATTAGCCAGGTCTAAGCCAGCACATACATCTTGATAATTCTCTCTGTTTAACATTTAATTTTCCTAGATTTTCTAACTCTACTCCAGTGTCTCTTATTATTAAAAGTTAGGCTTTTGCAATGTACTAGGCTCTTGGCTTCCAGAGGAGAACAGAAGAAATGATAGTGAGATACTTTTCTCAGCAAAACTGCCTTGGAACATTTTTTTTTATATACACTGTAGAATTTTGCCCACTGCTTTTCTGAAATGATGTTTGAAAACTTCAGAGTACAGACGGAATAGAAGACGAGAATACAACAACTTAAATATGATGTTCTGACGACGTGTTAAGCAAACAATGCATTCAGGCTTTCTCACAGGCACAGTATGTTTCTACATATTAGATGTTAGAAGTACATAAAATACCTTTCCCATGTAGTATTTTTGTACACCATCAAGACTAAGTGTCTGGGCAGGAGTCAGCATGACACCATTGCTGTTGTCTAGTAGCTGTAGTGGGCTGTCCACAATCCGTCGCATGGTACAGGCTCCAGTACTCAAGTCTGTCTCGTACTCCAAACCTAACAGTTGAGACCAAATCTGAGGTTACATGTACATGTACATGATGTAGCATCCTTTGTTATGGTATAGCATGATATGACTTACTTATTTGCATGAAAGCCCCATTTGGAGTAAGTGAGTGAGTGAGTGAGTGAGTGAGTGAGTGAGTGAGTGAGTGAGTGAGTGAGTGAGTGAGTGAGTGAGTGAGTGAGTGAGTGAGTGAGTGAGTGAGTAAGTGATCATAATAATCTACCCCCAACCAGTCCTAAACCAGCTGCGAATGCTTGCAAAACCTACTCCCAGGTCATATGTCCTAATAGTAAGCTTAATTCTGTGCTGAGTAGAGGGATGAAAACTGTTAGATTTTGTCTCACCTGTGTTGAAGTCATGTATGACACGTTTTGGGACACCAAACCTTCCCTCCTGGGGCTGGAAGGTGCTGGTAAATGCCACATAGTCCAGTCTGAGAAGTTGCTGATCGTAGTTGTACCATATCTGGAGGGGGGGGGGGTCAAACAGGCAAGGATGTACAGAGAGGCAGATGGGTACAAAATAAATACTGTGTGCAAGGTCTGATTCCTTGGTGCTAAACACACACAGACACAAAACACGCACACACGCGCGCGTTAGCATGCCTGTCCTTGGTGCTGAACACTATCCACACGCACACACACACGCGTTAGCATGCCTGTCCTTGGTGCTGAACACTATCCACACGCACACACACACGCGCGTTAGCATGCCTGTCCTTGGTGCTGAACACAATCCACGCGGACACACACACGCGCGTTAGCATGCCTGTCCTTGGTGCTGAACACTATCCACGCACACACACGGACGCACCCCCCTCCCTCCACCACTACACACAAACATACACATACGTTAGCATGCCTGTCCTTGGTGCTGAACGCCATCCACTGGAGGTATACGAAAATGGCGGATAGCAACCGTTGCCAAGGCCGGGTCACGTAAATAACAGCCGGGCATATTACAACATTTTCATATACAGAAGGAAAATTTATTAAGTCAAACAAAAGTTAGAAACAGTTACTTGTCTCCGTTAGATATCGAATCTGCATCTTTACGGTAAAGCCGATATAACCGGCTTTAGGCGTAACACACAATATAACCGTTATATATATATATATAGTATATACTACTAGTATATAGTATTAGAGAGTATATCAAACCTCTAGCCCGTCGACTATTTGTTGTTGCGGCAGTATCTGTTCCTGTACATAATGCTGGTGGTTTGGGATGTCGGGAAAAGTTTCTTGTGACTGGCGATGGTGACATTCAACCCCTCTTGGAGTCTGGGGAGAAAAACAGTTAAGACTGAAACATGACTACATAGTACATGTTGGACTTGCCACTGTCAGAAATGCCTTTGCCTCTGGGCCAACAAAAGAACCCTGGTACAAATAGAATCGGAAGGACAAAGGGGTTTTCTTTTCCACAACCAAAAGTGTCTCTTACCTTGCTTTCTTTCTTTAATTTGTTTAGGATTGTACTCTCGCCGTAAAAGCGCCACCTACACTGGCTACATATAGCGACGAGAAGCAGAACTCCAGTCAGAAGCTCTAAGGGAGGTAGTTGATAAGACACCGACACGTAAGCAAGGTAAGAGACAATACTGGTTGCGTGTAAAAGAAAACTCGTACATCCTCAGTAGTTATCGAGGTAGGATCGTGTGGCGTAACGGCAGAGCGGTCGGCTTGGAACCAAAGGGTCCTGGGTTCAAACCCTGCCATGCCACCAATCTTGTGCCCTTGGGAAAGGCACTTTACACCGTCGGACTTTCCTAGATGGAGGGCTAGCGAACCCCATCTCTTCTTTAGCCACAAAAAGACAACAGAATCTTCAGCTAGTTGGAGGTGGCTGCCTCAAAATGAAAAAAAAAAGAGGTACCTCGAAAACAGACCAGTCCGCGCGTAGAGACGATCGGAAGTACATGTACTCGTACGTGCGGGAGAAATCCCTTCTGCCCTCGCCTGGTTTCGCGTTCGGCTTACGCCCCTTCCCGCTAACCGTGACCCGCACCGGGATCACCGGGTCCCCGCCGGCGAGCTGGAACTCGGGCGTGGAGAAATAGTAATCCGCGCTGAAATTAAAGAAGACTTATACAGAGACAATATTACTACATTCTGATGTTTATCATTGCTGATTTTGGTGCATTGCTAGCGGTTTAGAACTCGTGTATGGAGAAATAGTAATCAGCACTGTGTAATAAAGCAAGACGTTATCAGTAAAAACACCGAAAAAGTAATATTACAACCTGATGGAAGTGTAGTTATGTACCAGCGTTTGCCATACGTTGTACCTTGTACAATCGTTGTGCAATAAAGTTTATGATGTTTTCTATTGGTGGTTTTACCACACTGACACTGGCCTCTTAAATACATTTTTCACAGATTGATTTGAGACTTGTTTATCTATTTGCTTTAATTTGAGACTTATCGGATGTCCGGATGATTGTCTGTTCGTTCTTGACGCCAAAAAAATTACACTCAGTTCTTGCTTCAGGGTTCCATAGCCTATTTGAGGTTTAGATTTGTACATTGAAGTTTCAGATTCATGTGCAGAGTTCTTCACTAACGATAATTAGTATAACCATGTCTTCTGACAAGAATACAAGAGCATGGGCTATGTCATTATCTATGCTTTGGGGAAGAAACATCACGACCTTTTTGGTCATCTGGCTACGTGTACAACTTACATAAAGGTGGTGTCCCACTGTGGCCAGTATGTACAGGCTCTGTAGTTCACCACCGGAATCCCCCGGACTGTGGTCCGCCCCATCTCAGTCACACCAAGTCTGCTGGCCATACCGAACGTCTGCGGAGAGAAGTAAGGTAATAGAGATGGATAATAAAGGAAGGAAAGAAGGAAGGGAGGGAGGCATTTGATGTCTTATTGTACATTTATGCCCTTACGAACTAAGGATGGTGATAAAGTTCTTTGTACTATACGAGTCAGCGATACTAGTCTGGTATCTTAGTACATCTACAGTAGTCACTACCGGTATGTACAGGTTCAACTTCTTCTCGCTTCTTACACTGTTATGTGTTAAGTTCGGGGCCTTGCTAGGCTGTTTGTGCGACCAAAAATGGACAACTTTTTGTCTTGATGTCTTTTCTGTCATAATTTTCGGCCCCGCATTTGGAATTGTGACTTAAGCATGCATGGTGGTGTCATATAGTGACAAGGCTACTCACCACAACGGAGGAAAAGATGTGTGTGCCGTTCGGGGCTGGGATATACCCGAACAGATCTTCGCCAGCTTCTAGCTGCTGTGCCACACACTGTGTACCTACGGAGAGAACGACGTAGCTCAAGTTATTCATATCATATGTTCTGTAGCCTCCATAGAGGTTCTATAGCCACCTCTATGGAGGTTTGGAGTTCGTTTTGCTTCGTTGAATCAAACTACCAAGTGCCGAATACCAGACCAGAAAGAACAGGAAATACTCATACCTTCAAGTACCAGAGTTATCAACCAAGGATTGAGGTGTTCAAAAACTCGTTTTCCCTAGAATTATCGTAGAGTGGAACTTGTTGCACAAAATACAGTGGGGGCATCATTACTAGATATCTCTAAACACTGTTTACAGTAAGATGTGCAAAGGTTAGGTGTAACAGGTTGTGACTGTCATGTAATATCGCTAGATGCCGCTGCGCTGCGTGCCTACGAAGCTTTTGTGTTACGCTGAAAGGTGGATATAGCGGCTATAAAGATACAGATACAGAAGCTGGCGTTCTATGCCGAAGCGGGCAGTCATGCAAGTTATACCGGCTATACAGATACAGAAGCTGGTGTGTTACGCCGAAGGGCGGTTATACCGGCTATATACAGATACAGAAGATGGTGTGTTACACCGAAGGGCGGTTATACCGGCTATATACAGATACAGAAGCTGATGTGTTATGCTGAAGGGCGGTTATACCAACCATTCACACAGAGATACAGTTGAACCAAGGAGGTTGACTATACTTACCAATAATGTCATACACCTCCCCACCGTTGAAGTTTAATATCTGTTTCCCAGTCCGGCCCTGTCGTGTCATGTAGACCACAGCTCTGTTGTTTTCACCGTCAAAGTGCTCCTCTACGTCATAGGTCTCGTTCCCATTTTGAATGTTCACCTCGATCTAAGACACATTAAAATTTCGCGATCATTTTAGATTTAGGATATCTGTATGGGACTTCAACAATGTATCGTCCATAGCACTTCGGCAGAATGTATTTGTATATTTAAGGATGACATCCCATTCATGCTTTTCAAATATTGTGTGGGAAAAGATATCGTCTGCAACAGGCAAAATTCTGAATAGTCCAGAGCCGTGTCAGGGCGGGAACTATCCATAACCGCGCCTGATCCTAACAATCCTGTTAATATTAGACATATTTTCTTATGTACAAATTTCATTGGATGCCTTGAAAAGAAAACGCATCATTCTATACCTTCAGTTTAGTTCAGTTCAGTTTAGTTTAATTCAATCAACTGGCATATACACAGAAATTGCGACATGAACTTTGTTGAAAGTTACAAAGCAATAAAACACCGAAGGAAGCGCTTTCGACTAAGAATACGATGCTAAGCATAACATATATCGATGCTAAGCATAACATATATCGATGCTAAGCATAACATATAATTACTATTAAAACCAAGTTGGCAGTACCTTTGCTTCAAATGACTGTGGAATGTTAGGAAGCGCCCCACACGGGTTACAGGGCACGCACACCGTCGGGTCTCCGGAAAACTGCTGGGCGGTGCATGCGCACCAGCTAACCAGCAGCGTCACCAGCTGCACATGCGCGGTCGTCATCTAAGAGAACACGGAAGAACATCATTATGAAGTAAAGTCTAAACTTAATCTCCAACTAGATTGAATTGCGACTTACCCAAATTTTGGGCTGATAAAGTTTATTCTTTACTTCATAATGGCTTGTACCAACACAGATGAACTTTCATGCTACGGAAGAAATAGTCATGTATGATATTTGAGGTCTGTTAAAATCTGTTAGAACATCCATAGAACACCGGAAGTTCAGCCGAGTGGAAACAAAGTCAAAGTTTATTGCACAACAATAGTAGCAGGTACATGTAACTGTTACAGTGTATGGCATATATTAAGATTACTAGCTGGTATGGGTCCATCAAACTTCTACTTATATATTCAATGGGTACTATATCTGGCAGAATGCTGAATAGAACTACTGGCTAAGAGCTAGCACACCTCTACACGTACCTGCTAATCACCTGTGTCTGATGATATCTCTGTGGATCTACATGTACTACATTCTTATAATTATTATTTAGAATATTGTATGACACATTCTAAGGTCTCCGTGAGGCGGATGTAGTGACCGTTCAATTGTTCTAGCTATGATCTTTGACGACATGGTTATGTAGAATAGTCTGCAAATTTAACAACTTCATAACAGAATACTTGAAAGCAAAATAGACAAAAAGAAATTTTGTTTATGTGGGGAAACATTGAAACACAAGAAAGCAGATTGGAGCCCCCCCCCCCACAAGCTTCGGAAATGAAGACATGAAATTAAAATTTCAACAATCCATAGGCATTGTACGGAAGCAAGTAAAGCTCATTAGTATAATTATGGAGATATCGCAGTTGCCCTGAAATAGTGTCCTGAAAAGAAAAGGCTACATATACGCTTGATAACGTAAAGGGGATTCATTCCTCAAGCTAACCGACATCTTGCACGCATCTTGTGTGACAGGATGAATAGAAGTTCTAAACGGGAACTATGCGGCTCCAGATGTCTTACTGAGGGGCGACTGTGTGTGCAAGATGTCGGTTAGCTTGAGGAATGAATCCCCTCTACTGTATTAGTGTATACTACATATACGCTTGAGTAACTATTATTTTGGCGTACATGTACGTACCTTGTTGGCGATGTCGCCCCCGATGTGGCCTTTACATTTGTTCTGCTTGTACCAAAGGTCGGTTCGTCACGCGATGGGTTAATTATTATCATTCTCATAATGATTGTTCGCCTCAAGGATCGGGTGGGAGTAAACAGTCGATATACCCCGTTTTCCGACAAATTTGGTCTGTACTGTATCTGTATCAGTATAGCCGGTATAACCGCCTTTCGGCGTAACACACCAGCTTCGCAGGCACGCGGCGAGGCGGCAGCTGGCTATATTACACCGATCGACTTGTTACACCTACCCTTGAACTTCTAACTCTAGACATTGTTTAAAGCTATCTATTGATATATTGGTCTATCAATATTACTGAAGAAAGAAGGTCTCCTGTGCCCTTATGCAGAGCGTAGGGTGGTGCCCGTATCCATTTCTGTAACCCTTGGGCGACACACAATTGTGCAAGGCACTACAGCAGGGGGCTAGTCCGCTGGTAGTGCTGTGTGTTTGACCTTCCCACACTCTTTCTCATTTGTGCTGCGTGCTAAGCAGAGAAAGAAGTGTGTACTATTTTTAAAGTCTTTGGTATTACCAGGCCGGGGTTTGAACTCACGACCTCCCGGTTACAAAGCGAGCACTCTGAGTATTACTAAGGAAAACCTTTATTGCACGACAATGCACAGACGGCACAATATATGGCAACGGCAACGGAACATAGTGCAAATATAGAGGTATAGCTAATACTTAACATCCTAAATATTAAGACAATAAGGGCTAGCATAAGTGTTTGATATGGTGCTACAATCGAGTGGGGCTAGTCACGAGTTTCATGTACTCAGAATGCGCTGTGTCGCAGTGTTTTAATTTCAATCTATCCGTGTGCACTACACAAAAAACGGCACACACAGAGAAAAGCGTGATTTGCATGTTCACTTGGTGCATAGAAGATTTTTAATAAGAATCTCGCAGACGTTTAGACTGGTACATGTATAGCTCCACTAGTGTACGAATAACGTAGCTGGTGTGTTACGCCGAAAGGCGGTTATACCGGCTATACAGATACAGATACAGAATACTGCTTAGGTACGACCTGACATAGTCATTTCCACGTCCTGGCAAATAGTTATATTCACAGACAACATAGCCTTGTGCAACGAAAAGTGTTATCACTATTTCTTATTTCCAACATCACATTGTCTGAAACTTGAACTGATATGTCAAGACGTACTTTAAGACGGACATATATACGACAGCAGTAGCTCCACTTCTTGGCGTATAATCTCTTTCTTCGGATGAATAATGTCCTCGTTCTTGTGAGACAGCGTCATATCCCACACGTCTAGTATCGTCACGACAACATTCTCGAACATCTTGCGAATGATCTTGTTCATCTGAGAAGAGAAGAAGTCGCTGCTTAACCTCGGAACTCCCGTGCGCGTGCTTGCGGTCTTGAAGACAACGAGAGTACCAGGCTTTCTATGTAGAAGGTTTATAACGGCTGTACGGATAGCGCGAAGTCTTTGGATGTAGATCTCATAGTGGAAAGATGTAAAATGGGCCCACATGGTGATAATAAGGACATAGCCAGGGCCTCCACGTACGGAGTTGATCTCTTTAGCCAGATAGTTGATGTGGGAGACGTTGATACCGCCTGTACGTAGCGGAGGACCGTGGACACGGAACCGGAGGGTGAGGTTACTGGGTTTGTGCACGGCGTAGTGGGGCCCCGCACGTCTGGTGATGCTTGGGTCGGCAGCCTAGAGAAGGAGAAATACTTAGTTACACTGGGTTCACATTATACGCACCTTGATACAAATATCAAATACAATCACAATCGACATAGACCTTTTTAAGTTACACACACACACACACACACACACACGCACGCACACACACACACGCACACACACATATACAGCATACAGTACTTACACTGAAGGTTGTATTCAGGATATGGAGTAGGAGAAACTCGTACAGTTGTCTGCCGGTGGAGTCTCCCATGAAGTAAAGTTCCTTGTTCTGTAACGATAATGCCACATATGAGGAGATCGGAAAACTAAAAAAAAGCCGTCTTTTCCTTGAACCGTCGTACTGTTGATGTCGACAAGTCTTGTGCCTTGTACAAAGATATGTCGATTTATTTGCTGTCTACGTCTTAATCAATCAGAGTGTTTTACTAGGCAAGAGCGCTGTTAAATCGATGTGATTCGGCCCCGATAAGGACTGCAAGTGTGATTGAACAATAAAGTTAAAAGCTTGAAGTTTGACTGCAGTCCGCCAGGCGCCCCAGCCTGTCGCCGGTCCCTGTCCTTGGTGCTGAAATGGGAGTCCCAAAGGCGGACGTGCGGGGAGGTGGGGAGACATAACGTTATCTCCAAGCAGATCTTTTCGTGGCTGCAAGACGATATCAAGTTAGCCATACTGTATCCATTTGCCAGACAGTTTTACCATTTGCCACCGAAGTTTGGCTGGCGTGAAGAAGAAAAATTCCAGTACAAAAGAGAGCCTGATATTAAAAAACACCTAAAAGACGACAGAAAAAGTCAAAGCTTAAACCTCTGCTTTTTTTTACGGTTCTCAGTGGCCAATATGAGATGTTGTCACATCGGCGCACCAAATCCGTAAGGTGTTTTTGGCACCCTGACAGACAGATTAGCCTAAGAGGCTCGGTGGGCGTCACTCCACCGTATAGGTGTGGAAGTCGTGTAAAGTGCCTTTCCCAAGGGCACAACGTCGGGCCACGGTGAGTATCGAACCCGGGACCTCTCGGTTCCAAGTCCAACGCTTTAACCGTTGCGCCACCGACGCCACAAACCTCTGCTTTGAGAGTAGAAATAGCGTACCTTTAAACATCTGAAGTAGTGCTCCCTCTGTAGAAAATGCCGGTTCCTACACACGGTGGAGGTCCACACGTCCTTCTGCCAGAACCCGGTGGTGGGCGAAGGGGATGCCGGGATACCTGGCCCACACGGAGGACGGCGCATGGACACAGAGATGGGTACGTCTGTGTGAGAAGGTTAGAAACAAACGTCAGGGATCGGAGACATGTTGACTAGCCTTTACCAGGCTTTAGAAGCGGCTGGAAGCAGTAGAAATTGGCAAAATAGACAGATAATATCTGAGGAGTTAGCGGCAAACTGTATTACTTTGGCGGATGAAATCCCCTGGCATGTTATCTGTCTCTTTGGCCAATTTATACCATTTCCAGTCGCTTTTGAAGCCTGGTAGAGGCTACGTGTGGATTGTTGTATCCAGAACCATGCTTTATCCAGAAACATGCTCAGGCACGGTTCTGGATAGTCCACGCGTATCCAGAACCGTGCTTTAGCCAGGACCATGCTCGGACACGGTTTTGGATAGTCCAGTGAGTATCCAGAACCGTGTCTGGGGCAAATCTACTTTCTTCGAATCAGGATACGCGGAGACTATCCAGAACCATGCCTGATCCTAACCCTAACGCTATAACCCATTCAGTCATCCTGCAGGTTTAATGTCAAATGTGTGAATTGAAAGATTTGCTCACCTGTGTACGACTTCACGTTGATTGACTCTGGGCTTCCTTTTATGGTCTTTTTAAAGGTTCCTCCTTTCTCTTCGTCGTATGTTCTGCAACACAAGAAGTTAAAATTAGTCCTGAATGTTTGCATTATCGTCCTTTATTCTTTTTCTCAGCTATGGGACTTTATTTTAGCATCGGTTTCTATACACTTATTTAAGGATGACATCCTGTCTATAGTTTCCAAATGTTGTGTCCGAAAAGATATCGTCTGCAACGAGCAAAATCCTGATTCAAAGTTGACCAAACATCCAACAAAAACCGTGAAAAATCCGGGTTTCACACTGGCACAGTACGTTCTGCCGATGTGCAATAGTGGCTCACTTCTGTATACATGTATCTGTATGACCTGTATCAGTATAGCCGGTATAACCGCCTTTCGGCCTAGCACACCAACTACTTACACCAGTGAGTTGATGATGTTTTTCTGGCTGGCCGTCAGGAAGAAGCACAGCTTGTTGAGACGACCCGAGAGATCATAGTCCACCTTGTGGTCCGCTCTGGAACTGCAGGGAAGCGTCTTGGGTTTGACGCATGCCCAGGACACACCAGATCTCGGGTCTGAGTAGTCACACTGTTCGACGTTTTCATCAAGGAAGACATTGCATTCTGCAAATAACGCCAGTATATGTTAACGACATGTTCTGTGTTTCTGTGTTGCTTCAAGTTTTCTTCTGTAGTATAGCAGTGTGTGTGTGTATGTATGTATGTGTGTGTGTGTGTGTGTGTGTGTGTGTATGTGTGTGTGTGTGTGTGTGTGTGTGTGTGTGTGTGTGTATTTGAGTGTGCATGTACGTGTATTCGTATTTACGTTAAGCATGTGCACGTTAGGCTCAAATGCACGTGAACTATTTGTATATGCGCAGTCTTGCCTACTGTGTACTTTTCTGTGCCTTTTTCTGTATTACCTTTTCTGTGTTAATGCTTGCCTGTATCTATATAACGTTATAGCTACAGCCTTACCTGTAGTTTCTGACGCCCCGTTGTGGCCTATGAATGTGCTAGTGAAGGTGAGTCGGAGTGGACACACCTCCCACATGTAGTTCAGCAGGTAACAGCCTTCACTCGGGTGGACGAGCCGGATGTTGAACTTCGCCTTCCCCGCCCAGAACAGCCGAAACTGTGCCGTGTACGTGCCGTTCTACAACGTACAAACAAGACAAGTATCAAAAGTCAATGACCTGGACCAGACGGCTGTCACCATGGTAACTGGTGCTGTGGCAGGCACCTTGTGGCATTGGATTACAGTTATAACACTTCTTACGTCATGATCGATAGACCACTTCTTACGTCATGATCGATAGAACACTTCTTACGTCATGATCGATAGAACACTTCTTACGTCATGATCGATAGAACACTTTTTACGTCATGTTCGATGGAGCACTTACGTCATGATCGATGACGTGTCCCGCGGCGGCACTGTCGCCGTCAGTACTCTGAACTCTGACCTGGAAGTAGTCCCCTCCGTGGATTTTGGGCTGTCCGTCCTTGTCTCTAGCGACGATGGTGACATTCACGATATCGCCTATTCAGTCAAACAGATTGAAGTATTTACGACATTCAGTAGAATACAATTATTTAGCGTGCTTCAGGACAAGACAGATTTGCGTGTTGCATTGTTCCTGCATCTGTGTTTGATGGTGACTTTGAAGCCGGAGAATAACAAGAAATAAATCAATTTTCATGACGCTTGCATAACAGGTGGCTGACAATCCCTGGTAGTTGACAATATAAATTTCATACGTATGCCATTATGTAACTTAGAAAGTGGGCACAATAATTAGTTATAATGAATTTTGCAGGTAGGATCTCAGTTTTATTTTTCTTAACGTTACCTAGTATTCCCTAGCCCTTGATGGAGTTTATTTTCTTAGATATGCCTTCACAGAAAAAAAAATTCCAAAGCTCTCTTGTTAAATTGCTTCAAAAGCTTACTCACCTACAAGGTACAACTTTTTCGGCTTGTCAATAGTGTAGGTTGTCTCTTTAGCCTCGGTGATAGGTAATCCAGTCCATAACCTGTTCCTGATGACCATCGCTGTTGGCGGTTTGGGCCAGTAGAGCGTCTCTGAGATCAGGACGTGGTTCTCGGCTGTGGCTTGTTCTTTCGACACCTCTTCTTGTTGACTTGCGGCAACATCAAAATTCAGTCTGTTGAGAAGTCCACGTCCTTTTGAGAACCCCTATGATATCAGACATATATGCGGAACAACATATGGCCGATAATAATTTCACCAGGTTGGTGAATGATTGAATACCTAAGTTCTTTATTCAAAATCACTTGTTTAACAAGAGCTGACGTTTCGGTGACCACCTGTCCTCTTTGTCAGAACTATGACTGGTTCACTGTACGCCTAGCTTCAGTGCACCTAACATTGCGGCGGCCTGTCAATGTTACTGACTTCTTCTAAACATACCCATGGCCACAGAAAAACACTTTTTATTATCACAAAACTAGTTTCGTTGGAACTAAAACAGTACACAAAAAGTTTATATTCTTCGGTGTATGTGTTGTGCGAAGATGGCAAAATTTGTGCGTATTCTGACACACATTGCTTTACCCGTCTATGTATATAAATGTACATTCTAGCCTCAGGGTTGACATCTTTAAGAGGTGATAATCACCTGTTATGTCAATCTTTCCACAAATGTGGTGAATCTTCATAAATACGCCACATTCACAGCCCCAGGCATTACAGGCAGTGTACATAGTCCCAGATAAAGCATCTATTCTATTGTTCTTCTCGCTTTTTTTAAAGCGTTAAAACGATTATTTGTTTATCTTATACGCCTATCTCCAGTATAAATCCGTACCTCAGTACAGTGCACATACCTGGGGTCGCTGCCATATCTGTGGGCTGTTCAGATGACCCAGAATGATGTAGCCTGTCCCAGTGACGGCCAGCAATACAAGACAGTAGCGCAGCGACCTCAGGAGTCTTGTGGGGAACATCTGGGTAAACGGGGAAGAGAGACACAGTCACAACAAACTTATGGCAATCCCTACCTACCTACCTACCTAGTCCCATGACCGACACTGGTCGTTGGGGGGACAAGGCAGACCTTGCAGCAGAGGTGTAGCCAGGTCTTCCTGTCTTGGGCTGCTGTCAGGAGTTGTGGGACGGTGATCAGGGACGTCCAGTACTTGATGTTGTCCTGACGCTTACCTTACCTTAACGTCCAGCGTTCCTTGTAGGATGGTAATCCCTGGCAGACCCCTAATGTTGCGTGTGTCCTTGGGAAAGGCACTTTACACATTCACATATTTCCTCACTTCAAGTCTTGACTCAGGGGAAGTGAGTACCTGGCTTCGGGTAGGGACATTCTCTTGGATAGCACGTAAAGCCTTAGGCCCCATGTTTGAGGAGAGCTACACCTTGGGCACGTTAAAGATCCCATGTGCCACACAAGACCAGTCTCGGTTTGACTGGTTCAAACCACACATGCAGTCTGACCTTAGACAGACTTGAAATTTCCTAAGCTGTTAGTCACCTGTTATGTCACAAACTGCGGGCAAGGAGCAATTTACATGACAAATGTGCAGTAAAATTAATTAAGGACATAAAATTCTACCTGTGTTTTTGTTTTATCAAAGGTCCGGGTTTGAATCCCACTCATGTCACCGATCTTGTGTCCTTGGGAAAGGCACTTTACACAACTTTCCTCACTCAACTCAGGTGTAAATAATTTCTACCTAGCTTCGGTTAGGGACGTCCCTCGGATAGGACGTTATGTATGGAGGTTTGGGAGAGCCACACCTCATGCACGATAAACAGCACACAGTACTTATCGAAAAGAGTAGGGGACCTTCACGGTGTGAGTGGTTCAAACCTTACGCATGCAGCTTGTACTTTAACATGTACAAAACTGGTATGTTATGGCGGTTTACCGGTTATGCGAAACAAACAAACAAACAAACAAACAAACAAACAAATCACCACTACTATAGATCGTCGCACAAGTCAGCCTACCTCGGCAGTCTCTGCTTCGTACGTACAACTTCCAGTTACATGTGAGTCGAAGTAAACAAACACGTCCACTGGTCTACAGGCACGTCTGTAGGTCCACAACAAGTCCACGGGTTTTCAAACACATCCACTGGTCTACATTATACACGTCTACATGTACGTGTCGAGAGACAAACAAACAAACAAACAAGTAAACAAACACGTCTACAGGTTTTAACAAAATCACCTTATAAGACCTTGAACTACTTCGTCGGACGACAACACGGGCGGTAACTTTAACCTTTCACCCCAAGAAACCGGTTTAGACTCTATGATTATAGATAAGTAGGACGACTACAGTCATTATGCCACAATGACGTCTCGTTTCTGTGCAAATAACTTAATTTGTCCAAACTGGTCCAACTGTACAAACATTTGGGGTTTACTGATCCACCTTTGTCTTATAGTTATGACTTTTAATGAGCCTGTATCTTTTAAAGCTTAAGTTATATATTCCGTACGGATCTTAATTAAGCCCTGTACGTCAAACGAATTGTGAACGGCAAATCATTGCAGGGCCCTTATAGGGGAGCCCTGCTATTTTGTATCGTTGGGGGTGACGAATAAAAACCAGTAAAATAGTTATCTTAAAGTTGATGTTTTTTGATTACCTTTCATTACCTTCGTCAAGAAGGTTATGTTTTCGTGGCTGTGTGTGTGTATGTGTGCGCGCGCGTGTGCGTGTTTAACAGCATTAACTTAAGAAGGGTTTAATGGGTTGTCTTAATATTTGTTAAGGGTAAGTCTTGATGAGAGCTCAGCTCATAATCATTAGATTTTTGCCCCTGGTGGCTTGTTACCGTACTGCAGAGGAGCGGCCAGTTTTGGTATGTCGTGATTTGGACATGCTAGGGTCATGATTTTGGATAGAAGGTAGCTCTTGTGAAGAAGTGACATAGGTTTGGGCTTTGGTCTTAATTTGACACATTTAAATGCCTAGCACCGAGACGGGCCGTCATTGGTCGTCATAATTAGATTATCAGCCTCACAATAATCAGACAGTGCTGTTTTGCACACCTGTGTAAAACAAGTTTGGCGTGGTCTGTCCAAAATGGCGGTTTCGTACAACGGGAATATTCCGGGCTGATTTTTAAAATAACTTTTTGGGTACTTTTTAGAGTTTTCGTCGGTAGAACGTTTTACCATGTGTGCAGCAGAATGTTTGGGAGTTTTCGCCGTGGATTTGGGCCGTTCTGGTGATGTTTTGAAGAGAAAATGCGGATTTCCTAAGCCTGGCGAATTTTGGAGAAGACAAGATGGCGAGAGAGTTGGGAAGAGCAGCGTGGCATGGAGACGACTTCGCTTACTAGTATTGTTGCAGGTAAACCAGCAAATTGTTTAACTGACATTCTTCCTTAGCAACTATAGTACGAACATTTCAAATTATATTCCGTAAGAAATGACCTAGTTATGTATTAGAGAGCGACCGTTCCTAATTTTAGACAGGCTTTGAAAAAGTCTGTCAAGCTGCCGCGTTTTCAAGTATTTGAAATGTGCGGTGCGCTTGTAGAGTGTTAAGAGTATGTGCAGGTCTTTATTGTAAATACTTCAGCGTTGTGAAGTTATATTTGTTGAAAGAAGTTATGCATTCATCATGCTTTTTTTAATTTTATCTCCACGTGGTTCAAAACACCCGTTGGAATGTGCACATGTACATAATTAGACGATTTTTAATTATCCCGCCAAAAATTCACGTAATGCTGAGGTCACATTTCCAAACCGCGGCCCGGCCAGGCCGTTTCGATGAACGAAAAATCAACAATTTATATCAATAATATAGTTCAATCAGACAGTTCCCATTGATTTTTTTCAACTTTGTTGTGCTTTTTTTTTGTCTTTTATATCATACTTTCGTATGGCCCCGGTTTAGAATTGTGACCTCGGCATAAACAATATGCGGTCCTCAAAGCTTCAAGGCGCCGAAATAAATACGATACAAACGTTTGGATACTCCAATCGATGAATTGACCATACTTTTGTTTTTACCATCATTTGCAATTTATCATATATAAAAGCTTGTTCGTTTCAGACTTGTTCAATTTTAGACTAATTAAGTAACGACCAACGCACAAGTTATTGTGGCGCAAACATGTACTACACCCAAGGATACAACTCAGTCAACTGGGTACGCTTGAAGATCGCCATTGCTTTTTTTCAAAACGTCTTGTTTTGGACTTTATGTATTCCACATAAAGTTTCAGTTGAAGGGGTTTGATTTACCTGAATTGACCTGAATCAGGAGCCAGTTGGCGGATAGTCCTTAGTAGCTCCTATGGTCATCTTCTTCTGTATTTTACTCGCCGATACTGCTGTTATCTCTGTTTAGGCCACAGTAAATAAATTGCATGGATGACATCTTCCGCAGATTCCAAATCTAATGCAAGCGAGCGAAAAAAAAACAAGGCGGGCCGAAAAAAAACTAGGTTCCTACAATTTAAAATGTTGACTCAATCATAATTGTACAAATGGTTTTGACTCAGTGGGAACATCACATATCACTGCATCAAAGTAATAAACAAAACATTAAATCAGAGCCTTTTCTTGTCTCCTCTCTTCATAGTTATCTGCCACCCACCCAGCACAGACACTTATCTTAATATTTATTCTTTCACATAAGCCTTTAGTGATCTGTGCTCTGAGGGTCAGCAACCTGTGCAGGTGTTCAGTACTGATGGGATGAGACTTGTGATGACAGAGGCACCAGGCGATCGGATACACATAGGAGTATTAGGGCAGGTGAGAAAAATCTGAATTCCGCATTTTTATAATTACCTACAGCTATTTGGTGTTATTTGAGACAAGTGTGTAACTTCTAATGTCTGTATAGTTAGGTGGCTGCTGACTGATGCTGTAGTGGGGACTCCTGTGTGAACCTGACAACACTGGATTGGACCAGACCAGATCAGATGATTTGAAGACTCGAGAGGAATATCAGGTGAGAAAAATCCCAATTCTGCATTTTACCTACAACTATTTGGTGTTATTTGAGACAAGGGTGTAACTTGTAATGTCTGTATAGTTAGGTGGCTGCTGACTGATGCAGTAGTGGGGACTCCTGTCTGAACCTGACAAGAGAAGATTGGACCAGACCAGATGATTTGAAGACCCAAGAGGAATATCAGGTGAGAACTTGAAATCTAAATTGTAAATTGTACCAGTAATAGTTTTCTTGTTGTTAATTGAGACAAGCATGTAACTTTTAATGTCTATGTAGGTATAGGTGACTGCTGACTGATGCAGTTGATTGCAGTGATGATTCTAAACCCGACAAGACCAGATGTTTGTGTTCTGAGAAACCTGGTGACCGGCAACTTCTCTCTAGTCCAGACCAGCAAATCAGATGACCTGAAGACACAGTGAGTTTGTACA